GCAGACACTTGAGCAATGAGCAATTATTCTATAGATCACAATCGGTGCCGTTACACAGGATGGTAAATCCCGTGTCTTTAATGTCTCCGATTTCTACGCACCAATGCCTATCATCAGTGCAGAATCATAGCTTCAATCCATCGACAAGCAGTTCCGTTGCGCCTACCCCAGTACCGAGCGAATACAATGACTTTGGTTCTTCTATCGGACAAGAGGGCACATATTTGTTGGACGATACAAACTTTATGTCGGACGAGCAACAGTTTTTGATAACGGACAAAGGGATCGCATCCGAGAACATTAATAATATTTTTACAATCTTGGATGAGGAAGGTCAGCCAAATTTGCAAATACTATCTGAACAGACTACAGAAGAAACATTGAACAACACAATTATTCTTAACGCTTTGCCGAATGCCAATTTAAATTTGTCGGAAGAAGATATGTTGGATCCATCGAGCATCCTCACCGACGCTGGTGGCGCGTTACAGAAAATAATGCAATCGCGATCGTATCCGAACACGCCATTGCCAGCGCCAGTATCTGCATATACATCCTCGTATACAGAGGACAGTAACGGTTCCAGATCGTACCCATCGACACCTTTGCACACAATGCAATCCCAAGAAGTATATCAGGATCCAGGCGAGCCGATATTATCCAGTCCTATTCTTAATTCTCTTAGTTTACAGGATGACGTGACAAACGTCGCTGTCGCCTCCGTAACTGGCGTCACAGCTGGCACCGATATTATCGTTGCTGCTGCAGCCGCTTCTTCCAGTAGTCTCTGTAGGAATGTCGCTGATCTTCTGGAAGCTAGTTTTCTCGAAGAAGCCGACACGGAGACGGATGATCTGGATCCTCTTGGCAATTTTGACGGCCTGCAAGATATGGATTCGTTAACGCCGCTGTTCAATGAAGTCACGGAGCCTAATCGTTGAGACCATTATCTGTTCGGTCTATCATAATTTCGCATTTGTACAGGGAGAGGTGCGATAAAGTATAGACTGGGTCCCATGGTTCTCAATCGTATTATTTCATAGATCATTTTAGAGAGACGGTTAAAAGCAAGATATATAAGTGAATTTTAATAAGGATTAGATATTATTCAATTTTAAGATGTAGGGTATTTCAGAATTTTGCGTATATCTGTTATAATGTAATTTGATCATACAATTTAAAATATTTTAATTATTTTTTACTATAAATTGTGTATATAGATTTCTTATATAGAAGGCATTATTTCAGCTTATAGTAAATTATATTTTAACATGCAATTTACTATCCAGGCTGTATTGATGACTGTTTAATCTTCATCGCAATAAAAAGTAGTGTTGAAATGGTATTTGAAACTTTGGAAAATTTGCGAGATTTTTAAAAGGTACGTTTTTAAATTATTAAAGATTATATTCGTTAAGTATATGATATATATAATTAAAAAGGAATGTTTGTTTTTTTTCTATGAAACTTTGTTTTATTCCTCGGCAAAGCTTGTGACCCCCTTTACAACGCAAAAATTACATAAATACGAATATTAAATGCAAATTGTACTTTATGCTGGATATTCTGAACACTTTATACAAGAATACAATTTGAGAGAACTTGTATGTTTGAGTCTTTCTATTTTAATCATCTCTATGAAATTAAATTTATACATTTTTTAGTCTTAGGATATGAAATTATTAGTTTTTATGAATGAACATCACAACATCTTTTGTACATTAATTAAAATTTATTAGTTGTCATTGTACTGTTTCAATTTGACTGACAAACAATTCAATTACGTTTAATTAATTCCTATAAATTTTTATTCTGTAGAACATCTAACTATTTGATAATATGACAATTAGGGAAAAATTATAAAAAGTAATTTCAAAGAATTTCCATTCTATTTAAAAAAAAATATAGAACAGTGATTTTACGAAATACTTGATTATTTTATATATTACTAATAAATATTTTTTTAATTCTGTATAAATCTGTAAAAAAGAAGTCATTCAATGAATTAAATAGTGCATATTTAATGCAATTTCTAGCTGGAGGATCCTGTTTGCCTGCATTTCCGATTGCACACATCACTTACATTGGGTGCGTTCCGAGTTACGCATGAAGCACATGATGCATCATTTGTCCTTGTTTATCAATTAATAAAGAAGGACATAACGATACATTATGCGCTTCGCGATGTGTAACTCGGAACGCACCCATAGGCTGGTGCCCAATAATTTTTCACTACTTTACCAATAATATTTTATTTTTAAATTGGCCAATTGTTTTTATTAAAGTCACTAGAACTATAAAGTACCGCAAACTCGCATCCATTTTGACGCAAAACGCGGCCATTTCGAATTTATGCATTTGTATGTACGTACTTAATTTGGGAAAATGAAGTCGTCAAGTATGTAAATCAATATTTTTGAATTGTAATTAGTCTATTTATTAGTCTATTATCAAAAGAATATGTACGAATGCTTAATTTATGTGTTCTTTAGTTTAATACGGATTTATTTGCTGTAGAAGTTTAGTGCATGAAAGTGCACGAAGGGACATGTAAGTACAGTTTAAAAGATGAACCACCAACCGCCATGCTTGGAATCGTGTATCCTGTGCACTTCGGCCATTTTGACGTAAGATGTCTGAAATCAATTGCGCCATTTTATACATCTAGTGACTTTAGTTTTTATTGGCGATGCATGCGCAATATGCGATGTGTGCAATTAGGGGATCGTGAAACGTTCTGTATCTTGAAACGAGGTGAAAATTACAAAAGTGAGCAAATTTATTAGAATACTGATAATTTCATTGGTCAACACCTAGTAAATTTGCTCACTTTTTAGGTTGCGTTTCACTTAACGCTCACAACGCTCGTGGAATCATTTCATCCTTGTCGTTTATCAAATGTTAAACAAGGATAAACGATGTTCGCGAGCGTTGCGAGCATTAAGTGGAACGCAGCCATAGTCGTAATCATAAGGCCATAAGCAAATCAATCAATCACAAGCATAGAGATATAAGAATAGAGGGCAAAAGCCGTAGGTACAGGCGTTAGCGGGATAGAAAGAGAACGCTGCATAGTTACTCGTGCCATTCTTGTTTAATGACGCATGCGCGCAGCCCATCCATGTTTACTTACAAGCATGGTAGTGAATATGCCGGAATTAACCGCTTTCGATTTTACAAATGTTTTTGTGTACAGTTTTTTTAAAAAATGACTGTAAAGTGTATCGTGTGCAAAAAAGAATCAAACCGATTTTCTGATCGCAGTTTTCATAAGTAAGTACACACATATTGTACGTATACATAACAAACATACAAACCTAACCTTAATAAACATTGTAATTAATTGTATAAAAATTGATATCTGTAGTTTCAATGATACTTTTCTATTTTAACTATAATTTCTTTATTTTTTACTTTATTTACCATAATTCTTGCTTAATGACACATATTCTCATCATAATTTTCATCATATACATGATAAAGAAGAATATTAAAGGTACCATTTCTTCTGTATTTGCAATATTACTTTTTTAACACCATTATTTTCATTACAATTAATTAAATCATACATGAGGATTGTTTATTTATAAATCTAGCATTGCATTTTAACATTTTCAGTCCTATCAAATATGTAACGCGTACTTATCACGACAGTGTCCAAAACATGAATTTGGACACTGTCGTGCTTATAAACAAAATATTTCGCATCATTTCCATATTCTTTCTTCATGATTTTAGAAAGGAACATGTTTTCCGCTGTCTTCGCCAAAAAATCCGAATGTTTTTAATACATTTTCATTTCTATCGCAGCCACTCACGCGTCAGCCTACTGCTGACGCGCTCTATTCTTATATCTCTATGATCACAAGTCACTTAATCTTGAAAAAATTTTGCTTGCGTCAATGCTCCCCCCCTCGACAAATGTCTGGATCCACCCCTGAATAGAAAGCAACTAATGATTCGGAGGATCATAGTAGTAATCTGATTTATCGGCCTAGCAATAAACAATAATAAACAGTGTATTTATGTACCACAAAAAAAATAAAAATAAGAAAATAATAAATATAATTGATTTTTTATTTGTTCCACTCTTTTTTTCTTTCTTTAATGAAATGAACAAATTATACCCGGCAGATAAATCAGGCTGGTAAGTCAGACTGCTACTATGACCCTGCGAATCATTGGAGAGACGGGCAGTGTACATACACCGTGTATACCAACAATTTTACAAGTATCTTTGGAAATTCTGTAAAATAGTTTAAAACCGGCGGCACACGATGCTTATTTTCTTGCTGGATTGCTAACTAGAATAAATTCTTGCCATCGTTGTAGACACTGTCAGTACACCCTATAAGCGCAAAATGTTCCTAGAATGTTACGTGAATATTATTAAAAAAATTAAAATAATGTTATAATATTTCGAAAATATCATAAATATTTTTTTAATATTACAGGAGTATTCTATAGAGGTTATAT